TCATTAAGTTTTTTTTTAATATTCAGTGCGTACAAAGTCGCTAATTCTACACATTACATATAAATGTAGATACAATATCAACACACGAGTACGTCACGTGATATATCCAGATTATTTAAAAAAATCTGATATCTGAATCTAAAAAATCTCAGAACCGATCCGATCAATAAGCCATAGAAATGAAATGAAATAAAATAAATTACTCGTTCGTGGAAGGTATTACTCGCAGCATTTAATTATTAAAAAGTTAATAAGTAACTTTACGGTTTCCGTTCATCTTTTTCAATTCCTACTATTATGTCACTCTCTACGTATACTTGTTTGGTACAGGAACAGTTAAGGCACCCTTGACAAGAGGATTTGCATCATTAACGTGGTTTTTATTTATTTGTTTATGGGAGGGGATACTTAGGTATATTATTTTCTATGTCATAAAATATTTCGTACAAAAATATCCTTTTTCGAATCAACTAAAACAGTTTTAAAATAAGAAATAAATGGTACACGTAATTACGTAACTCATGTAGATAAATAAACTTATCAAATATCTTCTTTCACTTAAATACGTAAAATTTCGTTGTGAGTGATACAGTATAATAGTGTTGTAATATTTATACCAAAAGCCTTGTATTTTTTTGTAAAAATTTAATTCAATAATTGTAAAAATTTTTTTTTCAAATATATTATGTATTAAAAAAAATGTTCATAGATTTGTTTGTCTCGTACATAGATCTTAAGAGTTGATTTATTACATTAAGATTTTCGCATTAAAAAAGTAAAAAAATAGGTACGCTTAGCTTTTATAAGATAAGCAAATGGTCGGTCTTTGCTCTATTTGTTAAGATCTCAAACAAATTCGTAGGCAGGGAGCGTAAACTGATAAGAATCAGTGCCGTCCCTTCCAAAGCATTCTGAGAGCACTTTGTACTTTAAGCGGTCGTAAAATATCTTTGTACTTTGAAAGGCGAGACACTTTTGAAACGTCCCCTTTACGGTTTCAACTCAGACGTAATGATTTAGAAAAGTGGCCGATAGAAAATATGCGGACGTTCCTATCTTTATGGCCTCTTTCTGTACCAGGAGATCAACCCCTATTATTATTGGAACTGACTTTTTAAGAATTGAGAATATTAATAATCCATTAGCAAAAAGCCGAAAAAAAAATTTTGCATGTGCAATTTTGTAAGTGTTGTAAACCATATATTAGGTAGTATAGTATTAAACATTTTATTGGAAGATCGGGATAATAAAAAAAACGTAGGACAGATGAGATTAGTAGGGTATCCACACTGTCAGACGATGCCAAGATAAGTCACAAGAATTTTCGATTCTCAGATAAATTAAATAATAATAGTATAATTTTAAATATAAAAATCCATAATAATGAAGTCTTTAGTTGTCTGCAAATATGTTTCAACAATACACAAACAATTAAAACATTCTGTCACAAAGCGAGAAGAGAATCGGATAGCGGACGAGCTGCAGCTTCGAACTTAACAAAGGCCCGGAATTAGCGCGCGAATGTCTAGCGGTTAAACTTTGTTTCGAAATCCTTGAACAATATGTTTAGCACAAGTTGTTGAAAATGCTTTCCACAGAATGTCTAAATTATTTAATAAAATACCTAAAATATCTAGCTTATATAGAGTTATTATTAATACTTTAGTCTTTAATATATTATTAAAATGTTACGTACGAAATTGAATTTATAATGAAATTGTATGAGTCCATACAAGTTTAAGTAAAAATGGGCTTCGTGACAATGTGACCGCACTCCCAGAAATTGGAAATTATTATATAAATGGCTATTTCATTAAATTATCGGTACAGTTATACGTATTAAGACCAATAGGCTTGTTATGCGAATTAAATATTTACGGAGAAGTCATGGCGCTTTTTTTAATTTAAAAAAACATAATTAATAGCCTCAGTGTTTTTCAGCGAGATCCATGCAGCCCTTCTGCATATATATCGTCACAAACATCCATCCATTCATCCGTATTTATTTTAGTAATATTTTGTTAGAGTACATCAAAAAACGCAATTTTGTATTTTGAAATTTCTGACAAACTATTGTAGAAATTCGGCGAAAAGTAATTACGTAGTATTAACAACTACACGGAAGAGGAGAGGCGAAATTTTAATCACGATCCCATTACGGACCAAAGCGTGGAACTCATTTTAAAACTAAATTTCATATGACAAAGTTATATGAAAGTTCGAGGCGCTGGCGCTACGCTCGAGAGTCACATTATCGCGTTACGGTCTGCTTATAGGATTAGTTACGCTTCACAAATGACGCATACTTCATACAAAGAAACCTTACTTAGTTACAAACTTGAATAAATTACTCACGAGATGTATCAAAAATAAACAGAAATTGATAATTCCCAGCAGAGTTAGACAGGGCATAAGGTATTTTCATTGTTCATGTACAAAGTTAGCTTGTACAATTTAACCGTATTCTTCCGTAGATAGTTTTTTAGTCTTAAGCCCCAATCATATCAATATCTAATTTACATTCTCTTGTTTATTTGACCCGTTGTTTTTCACTTTAAGAAGGTATTATTGAAGAATTCAAATAAAATATATTATCTATTTAAGTTTAAGGTGATTAGTTTGACATATGACGTCTATGAAGTGTCGATTTAATTTTGTATGACGATTAATATTTTTTTACATACGGGCATCTCTCGGGTGTAATTCTTTGTTAAGTTAAAATATCACATGATATTCCTAATTCAATAAAATAAAATATTAAAAAACGAATAGTTTACTAAAATATATTATTAAAAGGAGTCCCTTTAGGAAGTATATCATAGTATATTTACATACAAAGTTACTTCCCCAATTCGTAAAAAAAATCTGTATCTGCCTTTACAATAGTTCCATTTTAGGACATTGTCAAATATAAATAAATCAATTATAGTATGTACCATAATTAACTATTACGTTTTGTTTATTTCGAATTTTGATGAAGCGGTTGTATAAATTACAATAAAACAAGACATGTGATAAAGGCGAAAAGATTTCCGGGAAAACATTAAAAACCTCTTACGTTGGAACTGCGAGCCGGGACGTACAATTTGTGGCGAACGTGACAAAATTCAGGGATTCCCCTGAACACGGCGCGGCAATATTTCAACTCCGCGGTGACGTCATATTACATTTATTTTACAACTGAACAAACCCCGCAGGCCGAGATTTAGATCGGCTCTTTTCAAATTTTACTTTTGTACGGAATGAGCAAAACTTACTACTTTTTTTTTAATTGAAAAATTGCTCATAAAAAGTCGCAGGGGTTTATTTCGTCTTCTATGTTTTATTGATAGTCATTATGTCAGAGTTTGTCTTTATAAATAGCAACATAGTATAATACTTTCCAGAATTGACGTAAAGCCAACTGAGACAATTGACAGTTTTTTTCATAATGCATATTTATCGACCTTACTAAACCGATATAGATTCATTAATAAGCTTACATACAATAAACACAAAAGAAGTTACTGCTAGAGAAAACATATTTAAAGATATATGTAGCTATATCAAAAACAAATGCACCTGTCTACGTGTACGACAATTGAGGAAGAACGTCATCGAATTTTCAAATCAACAATGCCGTTGAGACTAAAGAAGTGGCAATGAAATGGAATATACACGAAATATTTGATAAATTACTCAACTGCTATAAAATAGGATTTCATTCTCGGTCTTGCTCATCCAAGATAGGTTGTTAGAAACTTACGTGAAACATATTAGTCAACAATGCTAAATACTAGAACGAAGTAATGATTAAACACACTTAAAAATACACAAAATCTAGATTTCAGGATGTATTATGGAACCTAATAATTTTATAAGGATACATTAGTATACTATTCACCGATAATACTCCATATCTTTGACTTATAATCTCTTGATAGTAACATATTGCTAAATATAATTGCACATTTCGTTATTCGCAGTGATTGTAAGAAGTATATCAAAAAAGTAATATTTATAACTATAGATAACCGGTACAACGTACGAAAGGCAAGTGATTTTAGCGAACGTATAATAAGGATAGAATGATTATCGCAATATATAATACATACCTCGTATTTACTCGATTAATACCAACTCTATGATGTCTTCCGATTTCTGACTTATCATATAAAAAAATAAAGGCTTAGTTACACTCTTGTAAAAAACAATATTTAAAATCCTTGTTAATTTTAATTTTGGGTTAGTTTTTGTGTTCTAAATATTATGAAAAAGATTCATTAAAATCTAGCGTTAGTCCGCTGGCGCCGCGACCCAAAGTGGACCTTGGCCTCCGACACAATCGCCAAAGTCGCCTGTCCTGCGTCAAAATCTAGTTTTATTTGTAAATAATTTTAGTAAATACTTAATCAATACAAAAATAGCTTAAAAATATTTTGTTGAAGATTGTTATCTCTCAAAAAAGTACCTGGTTTAATGTACTCTTTTAAAATGCATATCGAACAATCTTCGACAGCGATAAGTAATTAGCGAATTTTCGATGATGTTATTTTCCCCTTATCTTATTCCATTTAGATAAAATTTCAACAAAATATCGAAACGTTTTAAACTAAGACTTTACACTTCCTCTACTTAGGTACAGTGAGACTACCACGAATAATTGTGACATGCGCCATCGTATCGTAATCGACAAGATTTGTATTGACCACCAAAAATCTCGTACTAACTTTGGCATAATAAGCGATGACCATACGAAGGCGTTTGTCGCAAATATTCATGCTAGGCCCATTGTTACTAGTTGAGTATAAAAATTTATTCATTTGTTACAAAATACTGTTAATCTATTCAAATCTATATAATAACTGTCAAATATTACTATTTTAGAAGGAAATTAAACATATTCTTATAGTTTAATAGTATAAAAATAATTTACTAATTCCTCTGCATATCATTTGGTTTAATTAATTCTCATTACTTTATAAATTTGAACAAAAATTAAAAAAACTTTTATAATATTCTTATATAAAAAGCGCATATTAACATAAGTCGTTAGAGATAGTATTGAACGCAATCAATGACCAAACAATTGATAAGATATGAATTGTGATAAGTAAATTCAATCAATAGCAAAAGGGCACCATACTAGTGTCGTATCAATCGTTATAATGTTAACTTGTCATACGTAATTATCGCAGAAAACGTCACGAAGTGTGGACCAAAAAATGGATGATGTGCAAAAAGTTGAACGGTATAACATTGCAAAATCACATTTCCCTAAACTGCATGAGAAAATACAAAACAAATATAATGAAATGCAAAAGAAGATTGAAAAATCTAAATCAATAGATATGTTAATGTGCATTGGTGATAATTTTATATACAAAGAACCTAAAAGACATCTAAGCACGAGTGATGTTAGAAATGGATATCAAGATAACGAGAGAAATATTGAAAGTGAAAATAAACTACGAACAGAAACGATGAAGATTGAAAGTTCTAAAGAAATAAATGTATCGTATGAAGAAATTAATTTTAAAGAAGTTGTTGTTACTGAAGCAAATAATGATATAGGAAATGACAAAATTGAAAGTGAAAATGAAGATAACCTTTCGGATAATATTTTTCTCAGTGATATGAGTAATTTTTCGAAAACAAGCTTGGAATCGTAAGTACATTTTTTAAGTAAATTTTATTTGAAGGAAAACTTACGTAGTATTATTTGTATTATATGCTATATTAATATCTACGAATATCAATTATGAGTTATAAATAGGCTAAACGGATTAAATACATAAATTAAATAAATTGCAAACAAAAGCATCGCAGTAAAACATGCAAGAGTTGCGTGTGCGCATAAACTTAAATAGTGTTTTTGTCTAACACTCTATCAACACAGACATAAGGTATATTGTAGATAAATTTACATTATATTAATCATGCCTAACTAACGGTATCCTGAGCACCTTAACGGATAGGGTGGGATTCAGGGATGTTAGAGCATTGGATACATTTACATGTTGGCTGGCGCCGCTGGCTCTCTGACTCTGGCATCGCTGAGGAACCTCAAGTATTTTTAATATCGTTAACTAACATTAGTTTTTAAGCCATTATCAACCCTAGAATAAGAATAAAAATATGGCTCTATGTTATCTGAGATAAATAAAATTATTATTATAACCATAATTTTGATCTTTTGCAAGTTTACAAGATATAGGCAGAGAAACTGATGAGTCAAGCCTTCCACCTACACCGACAACGAAGTCAATACGTCAAAAAATCGGCCTACGTATGACAGCTGTGAAAGAAAAACGGAACGCTTATAGGGAAAAAAAGAAAGAAGTCCGCGAGAAAGTGGAAAAGGTAAAATAATGTATAAAATATAATTAGAAACTACGTATGTTTGCCTAGGAATAATTTAGGACCATTTAACTAATATATTCAAGTAACAGCAATTCATAATCATACAGTAACATATTGTATTTACGCTTCTTTTAAGAGGAAAGAAGGTTGACGATATGTTTATTGAAAGTATTTCGTTTGTGGAAACATCAACCTATAAACATGATGTTCTTAATCCTGAATCTAAAAAATGGTTGTCATATAATGAGTCATTTTTCATTGCAGCTAATTCTAACGAACTCGCCCAACGATCATTATGATAAATTTCTCAAAAGAACTAAATTTGCAACGACTACTATTGCATTAATAGAAGCTTCTGGTTTTGAAAATGACGATGAGAAATTCCGATTCTTAATCTGCCGTTTAAGGTATAAACAATTCTCAAATTAGTTACTATTTATAGAACCAAAAATTAATTTTTAATGGTGATGCTAATTAATTACAGGTTAGGTTTGGAAAAACGCAAATCAAAAGTTATAAAAACTAATAAATCAGTAGTAAAATGGCAAGATGTTATACATATAAGTATGTATGAAGAAACATTATTGGAGATTTCACTTTGGGATAGAGATGTATTCATGGGCAAGTTAGTATTTCAACTCCATCTATATGGAGCATTGTCAATTCGTTCTTCTTATAAGCTTTATATATCTTAAGCCTTTATAAATTAAGCCATAGAATCTGTAGTTTAATATTTACAAACAAACTCAAGCAATATCTTTCACAGACGCATAAATTTAGTAGGGATGTTGGTTCAAGAATATTTCTTTAGTAAGTAATCTATTTCTAAATCTCACTATTGCAGATGCGTCGTGGATTTATCTCTTCTGAAACATGAAAAAACACACAAAATGCGGATCAATTTAGAAGGTGACGGTCGCAATATAAAATTGTTCTTTCTAATAACGATAAGCGGAACAGTTCTTAACAACACAATCCTTGACCTTGACGATTACCAAAATATCCGGAATAAATTGAGCATGGAACGCAAAAAATTTGTAAGTGTTAAAGTAAATAAGAGTCTTTATATCCTTTCTAAATAATTACTATCCTTTCTAAATTCATAGTATGTATAAATATTAGCTAGTTGAATACATTATTTACGGAATAGCTAAAATTAAGATAATTTCATTTTTAAACTACTACGCCTCATTTAAATGTGTCCAAAATTTTCGACCGGAGCAACGTTTAAAAAGATAACGAAATACAAATAGTACAATTAATTTTACAAGCTAACGAACCTTAACTATTTCAAACCGACGAATTGCACGATTCCGTACTTCCATACAAAAAAATTGGGATCGCATTCTGATCGCTCTGATATAATATGCATGTAGTTTGAACATATATGCCTTTATTTAAAATTCATATCGTTCTCTATATATGTGGAATTATAAAATTTCAGGCCTGGTATCGAACATTGAAAGATTTCTCAGACGTTGGCTGGTTATCTGTTATTGTCTTCGGCGCCAAAGGACTACCTACTACAGACTGTTCTTGTATATTAAAACTGAACAACGAAGCACTTTACACACACACTGTTCACAAAACAAATGAGCCAAATTGGATGAAGATATTTACGTTGTAAATATATATATTTTTTTATATCATAAGGTGATAAACGTGCGATCAGCCACCTGAAATCGCTGAAATAGCGAAGTGACCGTTGCCCATAGAGATACGCAATTGCATATGCGTTTCCTACCTTTAATCGACGAAGGAGAGGATGCACAGGAAGTAAATATTTTTCCTTGCCATGCATCCTCTCATCCGGAAAGTCTACTTCCACTCCCCATCCTTTCCTTATAAGAAAAAAGGGGAGGGAAGAGGACTAAATTAGGCCTCCGGGACGCACACTCATCAGACGAAACGTGGAATTGCTTCCACTTCACGCCTGTCTTCTGAGTGGTCTGCTATTGCACCGGGCGAGCCAGGCCAATTCGTGCGAAGATATTAAAGCGGGCTCTACCACTGTTGAAATGTTTATAAAACATTTCCATTTATGTCCTTTTGTCATTGTAATGAAATTTTTTTTTTTGTGATCCAGCACAGTAACTGATATAACATCAGTTCTAGAAGTAATTGTGTTTGATGAAAAGAGATCGGAGGATGTTGGAAAGATTTCAATACCATTGTTGAAAATAAGTACAAATGATAAAAAATGGTACGCACTCAAAGGCATTAATCTCAAAGAGAAAGCTAAAGGAAATAATCCAAGAATACTCTTAGAAATGGGAATTACATGGAATCTCGTAAGTGAGCAGTTTTAGAAGATTTTTGGACTTTATAACATCCGTGTGGTTATAATTATTTTTATTGTTTAGATAAAAGCATCGGTTCGTGTTATAAATCCGAAAGAAGCCGATCTATTAGAAACTGAGGATAAATTAGACCGGCACATCTTCGCACGTAATATATCACGGGCCAAAGCAATATATTCCTGGACAATGAGCACATTTCAAATATTCAAGTAAGAGTTTATTTAAACATCAATTGCGACAATAATTTAGAAATTAAGTAGGCAAATAACTTTCCTCGTGTCTCATTAATTGCCAACAAGCAATTTGTCATCTGTACCATTATATCTTTTATTGTATTTAAAAAAAACTTAGTAAGTAGCCTATGTGTTCTTCCATACTATGTTCTACATACATGTGTGATTAAAATTATCTCTTGAACTATTCTGGATACGATCACTCCTTATATAGGTAGAAATAAGATAACTAATGTAGCATATATTTTTAGGACAATGTTTGAATGGGAATCAAGGAAAAGTAATATCATAGCTTTAATAGCTTGGTTATTTTTTTGTTGGATCTTCAAAATTTGGATGCTACCTCTACTTCTTCTTATACCGTTCGCGTGGTACAAGCCTTCAAAGAACCCCGTACTAATGAGTAAGTAATTACGCTTCTATTAACATAAGATAGACAACAAAGTTTGGGAACCAAACCACGTATTGTCGACCATATTAATCATAGTGGCAGAACACAGAGTTTAGTTTTCTACTCTTTTCTTAGTTATATAAATTTTAAATAATTCTTATTTCACATTTATTACTTATTAATCATGTTTATTGTATTACATCTAATCATTTCCTGAACACTTCACAATCTTAACAAAATAAGCCCTAATTTAGTCGGAGGCCTAATTTAGTCCTCTTACCCTTCCCGTCTTATAAGATATAAGGAAAGGATGGGAAGTGGAAGTGGACTTTCCGGATGATAAGAAGGTTTCAGGTGGCCGCTCGCTCGTTTGCCACCTTATGATATAAAAAAAATAACCCTTCTTTCAAATATAAATTATCATATGCTTATTTCAGTTAAAGTCATTATTTTAGGATTTGTAATTATAAAAGGTTCACTATACTTGTTTTTAAAGTTGTAAGTAAACAAAATATTTTCGTTCATAAATCAGCCAGATTTATTTTGTTATTTTTCTATTTAAAATAATAAAAATATTCTCATAAATTCCAGTCAGAAGAAGGTTTGAGCAAATTCCAATAGAAGGAGAAGAAATTCCAAAGCAGGAAAAGGTAACAAAATCAATCTGTTAAAAATCCATCATGTTTAAAGTTAATTTTGAAATAAGTAAATACGTAAGATTTTTTTTCCAGGAAGAAAAAAATTTAACACTTCGACAGAAAATAAATTCCCTCCAAGACATGGTACACACCGTACAAAATGTAATTGGAAAATTTGCAAGTCTCGGTGAAAGCGTTAAAAAGTAAAAACTTAATTTAATTAACACTTACAACCATAGTGTCTTCTCTACGATTCAACTAAAGAGGGATTTTCTTCTTTTTTCAGCCTTTTTAATTTCTCTGTACCATTCGTGAGTTGTTTGGCGATATTTTTAATATTGTTCATAACATTGGTTATGTATCTGATACCACTTAAATACATACTTATGATTTGGGGTAAGTACAAATATTATACGTAAAATATAATTAGAATATCAAATATTCGATAACTTTTCTTCAAGCACTTTAAAAAAAAAAAATCGTGAGTTTATATTTTATGCTCATACTACGCCCCAATACACATTTTAAAAGGTAGATTTAAATGGACGGTATGACTTAAAATTTTAATAATAATCCGACCGAAAATTGACGAAATTTTCGAGGCATTTGTATCATAAGATTTAAAAGTAGGTGATAATAAAATCCATTAGATAAAAATGTCCAATTTGATATTTACAGGAATACATAAATTTACAAGGAAAATTTTAAAACCTAATAGAATACCAAACAATGAAATATTAGACTTACTTTCGAGAGTGCCTGACGATGAAACTTTGGTAAGAACAATATTTAAATAATGACTAAACAATTTTTGTTTTTTAATATTTTTTAGCTTTGTTAAATTTCACATCTAATTTTGTTTGCAGATTGACTGGGAACAGTATTCTTTGGAAACTTTGTCCGATGAAGATGAACATTTGTGACTATCAAGATCTGAATAACATAAGATTATTTTTATATTATTTTAAGGCCTTGTCTGTTTTCTTTAGGTTCATCATCATCAGCTCACTATACGTCCCCACCGAGGGGCTCGGAGCCTACCCTAAGTTAAGGGTGATTAGGCCATAGTCAACCACGCTGGCCAAGTGCGGGTTGGTTGACTTCACACATATCTTTGAATTTGTTCTCGGATATGTGCAGGTTGCATCACGATGTTTTCCTTCACCATAAGAACGTCGGATAAATGTACATATGTAAATCGGAAATCGAAAAACACATTGGTACATGGCGGGATTCGAACCCAGGACCTGCAGATTGCAAGTCGAGTGCTTGACCACTGAGCCACCGACGCTCTTCTTCTTTAGGTTATTATAGACATATGCTCGAAAAACATTACCCTCTTCGTAATTCGTGTAAAAATAAATATCAATTTTATTTTTAAATGCACAATAGCACGTTTATCTTATTATAAATTAATGATTCTGCGTGTTTCGTCCTCTGCTGATTAAACAACCCAATGCCTCTGCAAATGTGGATGACTATGGGCATTGGTCGCTTCGCTATTTTAGCGAATTTAGGTGAGACTATAAGATGTTTATTTTTATAGCAGAAAGTAGAATTATATTTACTTAAATACAATTATTTATTCCAACACATAAGACAGTTTCATGGATTTCTTGATCCATAAATCATTCTGAGTTGCATTACGGTTGAATATCACATCATTGGTGATGTACAGCTCATAAATTAACCAATCCATCTTCTGCTTAGTATGCAAACAGTGCGCGTTTAACTAAACCACTAATCATCTGATTAGAAGCAAATTACACATTTGCCTTTGAAGACTACGAATTTGCATCCCTAGTAATTACTTTGATAATAATCTGATTAATATCAAGTAATTGTCGAAATATTATATTGCATTACTGTGTTAATTTTTCTTCGTTTCGTGAAATGTGCAAGAAACATTTAAGATGCTATTGATGCTGCATCGTTATTGCTTGTTTCTTGTTTTATATTTATAAACGCGCATACAAATATCTCGTCTATATGGTATTTTTTAAATATGTATTTACATTAAAATTTACCAAACCAATTAAACACGACTTTCATTTTATGAATCCTGTGGTCAGCCGTTATAATTTCTACATTTTGCCAAAATTAAGTAGCAAGGTCATTGAAAAATATATTAACTGCTCCAAAAAAACAACCGCGTTGTCCTTAACTCTACTCGAAATAAAATTAAAAATAGCTTTTATTAAACTTTATTAAAACAGATAATTACTAACATTCACTACAATGTCGATTTAATGTAATATAGCTATATCGTAAATTAAAATCACAGATTACATGGTCAAATGTTTTGTACATAATATTATCAAATAAAATGTTGTCACATAAATTAATTTTAATTTTAATCTAAACAATAATATCCGATCCGAGCCTTTCGAATTCATTAGCAAAATAGACCATATCTTTGTGGTCTAGAGCTGAATTTTGAAAAACAATACGGAAAAAGTTAACGAGGTTGCCTTGCGGCTGATACGTGACCATCATACTTCCTTCTTTTATCATTCGTTCCTTAATTTTGGGTGCGACCTTATGGAGCCTTTCTCTGTAATTTGGATCGTTCTCGCAACCTCGTAGACAATTTGGCACGTACCAAAACATAATGTTGGTGCATTCGGGATTCTCGAGTACTAGTTTAAAGCCAGCTCTTTGTTTGATGTGATCCAAGAAGTATTTAGCGTTATCGAAGAGTTTATCGATATGCTTCTCGAAGCCATCACTACCTTTCGCTTTCCACATGAACCAAAATTTGAGAACATCGGCCCGTCGACCGCACTGGATGTGTTTGTCACCAGTGTCGTACGAGGTGTCGTAAAATTTATCTTTCTGGAAGAGATACTTCGCATTGGATGAATGCCCCTCCTTCAGGACATTTTTATGTCTGACCAGGAATGTGGAGCATTGTTGCGGAGCTGCCAGCAGCTTGTGAGGATTCCATGTTACCGAGTCGGCTCTGAAAATAGAAACAACAAGTTCTTATCATCATCACCTCACTACTACATTTATCCGACGTTTTTACGTAGGCTCCGAGCCTCTCAGTTGGACGTCCCAACATCACCTCACTACACGTCCCAACTGATAGGCTCGGAGCCTACCCTAAACTAGAGGTGACTAGGCCATAGTCAATCAGTGCGGGTCGGTTGACTTCACAGATGTCTTTGAACTTCGCAAATATGTGCAGGTTGCATCACGATGTTGTCCTTAACCGTAAAAACGTCGGATAAATGTACACATGTAAATCGTAAATCGAAAAACACATTGGTACATGGCGGGATTCGAACCCAGGACCTACAGATTACAAGTCAAGTGCTTTAAACCCTGAGCCCGCGACGCTCTCAATTACTTTGTACTTTGATTTGCGAGACAATATATTGTAATATAAAGCATATGCTGCACTGTTAGAAGTTAACGACTGACACTATTTCTACCTTCAACACTAACCTTAGTCAAGCTAATGACCGCCAGTTACTCACACAGAACAAAGCTTGCGTAAACTCGCGAACGCACCGCTATTCGCTTTAACGTTTTTTATTAGCACTCAAGGATGTGTTTCGCAATTCAATAAAACATTTCATTATAATAATAATATCTAATTAAAAAAAACTTAGTCAGGCTCCTAGTACTTATTTGAAGTCTAAATTTAATTTAAGGCAACAAAAATAGAATTTTTATGGTATAAAGAAGAACTAAAATCAAAATCAAAGTTTCAAAATATTTATGAAGTATTTAATGTGGGCATTTCTAAGCGACTTATAAGTTTAAGTTTGCCAAAAGCTGGCCGTCGATAAATATTTATGCATAAATAAATATCGAAATCATTTTCCAAAATTGTTGTTTATTTTGAATAAGGTTATTGGCCCGAATCTTTGGGATCAATGACCTCTACGATTTTTGGAATTTATAATCATTATTTTACTTCGTCTTATTTGCTTATTTGATTAAGTTGACCTGCACATGTAATATTTATTTTATATATAAAGGACAAGAACAAAACTCGATTCAGTTAATTCTTAGTACTTACAACAGAGGATGACGCTTTTTGTTGCTTCGTCCGTAAATGTGTAAATTTATATTGTTAGGAAGAAAATCCGACACTACGCCGGTGTATCGGCGCAACACTAGCCGTATTAAAATATCAACGCTTATGTCCCCTCACTAATCAATCTATCAATTGACTTGGTAAAGAAATTACGCCATTCACTCCCAATGATTCTAGCGAATATTATGTAAATATACTTACAACTCTATCCCTTTTAATAGATGTCTATGTTTCTTTGACATCAATGCGCCACCACCCCAGGCAGCATCAACGTGTAACCATAGATTATACTTCTTGCATAGACCAGATATCGGTATCAAAGGATCGAAAGCTCCAAACACAGTTGTACCCGCAGTTGCCGTTACCATAAAAGGAGTAGATCCCGAGTTTATTGCTTCAGAAATCTTGATTTCTAAATCTCCAACATCCATTTTACCCAATTCGTCTGTTTTTATCATGATACAGTTGTCGCTACCAATGCCCATGAAGCAGGCCATTTTCTTAGTTGAGTAATGTGCTAATTCCGATGTAAATAGTACCAGCTTTGGTACTGCGTATACTCCTTTACTCTGTTGACAAAAAGATAGGTATAGTACATATCATGATCATCATCTCTTCATCATCCAATCAAATAGTAACTTTTATTTGATTGGAAATTAAAAGCCGTTAAAACAATAAACCATTTTTTTTTGTTTTATTTTCAAGTAGCACGAAAAATTTGCTACCGACCCTAAACTCACCTTGTTTACATTACGTCTATCAACACTTGTTTGCAAACTGTGCAAAATATACGAAAAATGGTAGTAAAATTTATCGTTCAATAAACGCTGAAGAATTTTTTACAATACGAAAAAAGTACCGTAAAAATAAGTCTGTAAAAACGTTTGAAGCGAACGTATTCAAAAAACGAAGGTGGTGAATGTAGAAATGTATAATATAAAAAAATAAAGCGTCAATTTTTAATTCTACAAAAGTATACGCACATATACGAGTAGATATTTCACATTCATATTTTTTATACAAAATATTGGTTAAACAATTATTCGTATATGGACGTTCCTTTTTTTATTATTATTATTAAAACGTAGTTCAATCGCCTACACTTTGGCTATTATATTAACTTGCAAATTCATTATTATTTTGTACTTGAATATCATATATCAATGGTCAGGGTTTTAAAAAAACATACATTTAAATACTTCATAGTGTTAGGAATAAAATCCGACACTGTGCCGGTATACCGGCGCAACACTAGACCATTAAAATATCAACGTTTACGTGTCTTCACAAATCGATCTCGCATTTGTCTTGGTAATGAAAGCGCGCCACTCCCTCCAAATGATTCTAATATTGTCTTAAAGTAGAAACATAAATATATTTCTATCACAAAACAAGTTCATATACCTAAACATGTTTTTTCAAACATTTAAACAATTTATAAACATGAATATCTTGTAATTTTACGGAAATCATCGCGTTAAGAACAAATCGAAGTAATCTAAGGACGTTCCTACAAATATTTAGTCTACAAAACATAACATTCATGTGTCGAGGCCCCGCCGGTATACTGCACGCGAAATATTTATAATCATTAATGAAACGAGGTTAAGGTGACTACCGAACTTCCTACAAAACTAGATTTGATAAGTTATATTTATTTATATCTATTGTAAACATATTAAAATCAGGATGACCGTAAGTTTATGTTTAAGTTGATTATCGATAAAACACGAATAAAATGACATTTTCTAAAAATGATTCCTAGCTAGATCGATTTATCGCCCGCGAAACCTCCTATATAGTAAATTTTATGAAAATCGTTGGAGCCGATTCCGAGATTCCAATTATATAATAATCAGTAATACTAGTATATAGTATATAGTTATATACTATAGTATTACTATTTTAACAACGTAAAAAAAGCATACAGATGATTTGATAACCTCCTTCTTTTTGAAGTCGGAAAAAAAGGTAAACTAAGCATCACGAGTCCTTTTAAAAGATCCAAAATTAGCAACATAATATAAAATGATTCATTGTATCTTTATGATAAACTTAAAGACGTATAAATTATTTTACAAATTATTTCTACACGAGCAAAGCCAAGGCAGTTTGTTACTATTTCATAATATTGTGCTGCAATTTACATTTTAGACTAATCGCAAACTTCTGTTCTTACTAATAGTTCTGACAATTAAGACGCATCCTCACTGCATTAGTAATTACAGGGATACTTGGATAAATCTTGGCATTCCCATGTACCAGTTTAGTGACACATTCTAGACTTTATAGACTGTATTTCCCGCTTCGTTTAGGAATTCCCTTTATTTCTAGCCCTAATTGCCACATGTCTACATAACGTTATGTCATTACATGACACATTTTTTAGGAAAACAGATTTTCAATTACTTAATTGGTAACTCAGTAAACACATAATTCGATATTCGACTTTGCAATGGATAATATAATCACGGTCAGTGTGTGGGTTTCCGAACCCAAAATATCTGTATAAAAATCCCTGTCATTATCTTTGACAAAACAAAGATAACAATAAGTTTTAAAAGTAGATTTTAGTCTCAGAAACTCACGGTCATTCAATCTTTGATTACTAACCTTGACATCTGGATAGAAGTGGTGTCTGGCGCAACTGATCGCATATCCGTTGGATATCGACCCTCCAGGACAGAATATACCGTCTCCATCGCCATCTTTCCATCCAACGATAGCCCGCATTTCCCTCAGCACTTCTTCCTCCATCAGAGTGAAGACAGGGGCTACTTCGTAAGTATAAACGCTCGGGTTTAGCGCATCAGTCAGCCATTGCCCAATCAGACCGTACGGATCCACTGTAGAGAACAGCTGGTTCACGAAATAAGGATGTCCAGTATTGACAGAGTAACGCGCAACCTAAAGAAAAGATTTTTAATCATTATTAATACGAGAAGTGCACAGTTTGTACACCTTTTTACACACATGTTTGATACAGTTGAAGTTAACGTGGAGAAGTGCGTTAAGTTTTTTTTTTTTAAACTTTGATTATGAATTATGGTTGGATTTCAACCAATGGCGACATCTAGTTGTAATCATTTAA